GGAGTATGTGATGACACTGGCTTCCCTAAGTCCCTTGTGTTAGTTCATTTCCATGTGCTTTAGAAGTTCACACATCAAATGTCCACTTATACTCAAAAGAAGTAATAATATTTGTAAGGTAGCAAGCAGTGTCTTTTGCTGAAATGATCTCTCCCAAAGAAACACGTTAAGTTTCTAGCCCAAGCTACTAATTTTTAAGGTTCCTGCCAAGCAAGTACTTGTTTAAATCTCCAAGGAATGGTCATCTGAGCACTCCTTTGAAGTGTTTGCTAAAGCAAGTTCTCCCAGGAGACTAATGCAGTGTTCTGGAAATGTGAGCTCAAATCAAAGTTATTATGTAAAATAGTCTGACCAGCAGCACTTTCAGGTACCCACTGGGGAAACAAGGTTAGGCATAGAACATCTAGGTGGACTACAATGAAGAATAAGGATGTATTAGTTTTTCCACTCACTTTGCTGAGTGGCCAGAAATCAGGAGAGGAATGACAGCTGCTTGTGTCCTTCCGCCACTCCAGCATCCAGCTGCTCTTGCCTGAAGCTGCTCTGCTCAGGGTTGTGCACCTCAGCACAGCTTCCATTCCCTCTGACTCGCACGCAGCTGCATAACCTCCAGGTAACTTTTCCAGGTCTAGAATGACACTCATTTTTTCCTGTGGATTTCTGAAGCACTCTAGGAAAGACGAAAGTCAGCAAATGCATAAACCTTTGTGACATCTCATATGTAATTGCATGAGACTCTTTAGCATAATATTAAAATTTGAGCTTCTCCCAAATTCCACACTGGAAATTGCATGTGAATTTCATCAATTTGAATCTCAAAGAACCTGCGTACCCATACTGATCAAATTATGAACATTCATGGGGCTTCTCTAATGTACCTAGCTAGCCCTAAGACCCTCAGTGAGAAAATAAGCTCAGACATTGTATATTGAGAGTTGAATTGCCTTGTAGCCCTGAACAAGCCAATAGGCTAGAATTTCATCCACACTTTTATTACTTGGATTTTTTTGTTGTTTCTTTGGGAAGCCAAAATCCTATAAAAAACATTCAGTTCTTCTGGCATAGTTTTTTTTTTATATTATGTGCACAATTTATATAATGCTAAGAAAAATATACGTATGTACATTTATAAGAAATGAAAATGTTCTTAAAATTAGTGTCTTTGTTTTTAAGGTATACAAGCCTTTATTTGAAGCTGTAGGTGGCAGTGGGGGAAAGACACTGGAGGACGTGTTTTACGAGCGTGAGGTATGATGTAAGCAGAGATGCTGTTAGCTTATTTTTCTCTTACTGTGTATTTTATGTATTTTCTTACTTTGGGTTTTGTTTTTACAGCTGATCATGCCAATTGATTAGGCACACTCATAGCTTGATAGTCAGTGTGTATTATTGACCCTACCTTGAAGAGGCAGGGCCTCCTGGCTCACATATGATAGCTTTCCATTAAAATGTTCTGTCCAGACAGAGGTGCACACAGTGAAGCTCTGGAAGAAATGCAGCTACTCCAAAATTAGTGAACTAGAGAAGCAAAGCTAGAGCATCCTCATGATCAAATATCAACTGTCTTCATTGTGGTACAATTCACTCTAATCCATCTCTTCCTCGAGAAGAGTTTATCCAGCGGGGTGTGGTGGCTCACGCCTGTAATTCCAGCACTTTGGGAGGCCAAGGCAAGCAGATCACTTGAGGTCAGGAATTCAAGACCAGCCTGGCCAACATGGTGAAACTCTGTCTCTACTAATAATACAAAAATTAGCCAGTCATGATAGCACTTGCCTGTAATCCTAGCTACTCAGGAAGCTGAGGCAGGAGAATTGCTTGAACCTGGGAGGTGGAGGTTGCAGTGAGCTGAGATCACACACTTGCACTCCAGCCTGGGTGACAGAGCGAGACTCCATCTTAAAAAAAAAAAAAAAAAAAAAGAAAAAAAAAAGTTTATCTATGGTTATAACTCATGGGCACGATTATAATGCTTAGGAATTGATCATATGGAAATCCATCCAGAGAGTCTAGATTATTCTATCTGCACACCCCCACCCCCACAAAGAAGCAAAAGTACTTGATCCATTTAGACAATTCCTGGGAGACTCTACTGCTCAACAATAATGGCTTTTTGTTTGTTTGTTTTTGGTATGAAAAAGGTACCCCGAATCCACAGATTTTCTAATATGTTCCATTTATTTATCTGAAACCATTGGCCCTTCCATCTCAATCTGATTGAAACTAACATAGAACCCTGAAAATTACCCAAACTTTAGGGTTAGACTGGTTTCAGAGGGTTAGGGTACCTTCCTAAAGACCTATGTTTTAGACATTTTCCAACAGCTCTCTAGTGTCTGTCATAGAAAGATGTAAAAACAAATGCAAATTAATTGATATAGTAGGGTTGCTTTAAGATTCCACACTATCAGACAACTGCCGAAAAAGAGGCTATTAAGAATGCAGCCTTTGGTGGGAAAAATGAGTGTCTACTCCTGACAGCAGATACAGCTTCTTTCCCTGCCTACTTTGCTCAAGATTTTCGGAGGTGCACGAGGGTCTCAGTACCTCCTCTTCTTTCCACTCTAAATATCAAAACAGAAAAGAATAAAGGAGTTGTTATATTCTAGACTTTAATCCAGTTTTTTTAAGGTTGTTTTTTAAAAAAATTTTCTTGGTCTCACCTAACTTCTATAGAAAAAAAATACAATTAAACTATATGTAAAGTTGCTACAGAGCATTCCAAGAAAGCTCATAATATCACTTAGTCTAAATTCCAGAGACCTGTGGCATTGCCCTGGAAGGGAGTTAGACTAAGCCTAAAAACCTATTTAAGCTTTTAAAAGTTGTGGCCAACAGGAAATACTTTATCTAAATGAGATATGTCCACTAGCTAGAAGCCAGGTAAGCATTAGTACAAAGTTACACACACCTAGGAATCTTTGAGCTAGCAGTGCTGCTAAAATTTGGAGCTTTTCTTGTGATTCTACAAACTTACTTTTATAACCTTTGTTGTCTGTATTTATCTGCAGGGTGACACTCTCCCGTTAGAACTTTCTGAGTTGCCACTGTACTCCTCTATCTGGCCCAATTTGGACATTGTCTATTTAAACACAAATAAGCACTGCACAAGTACAAGCCAGTCTGTAGCTTGATACTATTTCATAAACATAGTATGTTCCAAATAAGCTGATAGTCTGTGTTACTTTTTTTCTTTCCTCAGGTACAAATGAATGTGCTGGCATTCAACAGACAGTTCCACTACGGTGTGTTTTATGCATATGTAAAGCTGAAGGAACAGGAAATGAGAAATATTGTGTGGATAGCAGAATGTATTTCACAGAGGCATCGAACAAAAATCAACAGTTACATTCCAATTTTATAACCCAAGTGAAGTTCTCAAATGCAGAAAATTATACATGTTAAAAGGAGGTTATTGAAGAAAAGAAAATAAATTTTATTATCTAGGCTACACAAAAGCAAGGCACCCTGCATCTTCATGAGTTGCAAATCCATAGAAACACAGTAAACCAGCACTGAAAGAAAGCATTTACTTGTTTTCAGTGGCATTCGATCTTGTTTCCACATGTCTGTCTCGTTCTTCACTGGGCCTTACAGGTTAATTTTAATTAACTCTATGGCACTTTTCTTATTCTTGTTTGATCATGTTAAAAATTGGACCTAATAAAAATATTTTATTCTTGCTTTTCCATGCTTCTCTACAGGCCCAAATACTGAATGCCTCCTTTTTTAAAATTTTTTCTAGAGAGGGTGTCACTCTGTCACCTAGGCTACAGTGCAGTGGTATGATCACAGCTCACTGCAGCCTTGACCTCCCAGGCTCAAGTGATCCTCCCACCTCTCAGCCTTCTAGGTAGCTGGAACCACGAGGGCACACCACCACACAAGGCTCATTTTTGTATTTTTTGTAGAGACAAGGTTTCATCAGCTTACCCAGGCTGGTACTGAATTCCTGGGCTCAAGTGATCCACCCACCTTGGTCTCTCAAAGTGTTGGGATTAGATATGTGAGCCACTGTGCCTGGCTTCATTTATATTTTAACTTTCTGTTCCTTGCCTGGATCCACAACAATCCAAAGCTGTATGTAGCCAACATGGATCACATTTAATGGAAAATATGTGTTTTGTTTTGTTTTTCTAATATACTTTGATCCAGTCAGCTTAAGAAAGCAACACAATTCCAAATTCTATCCTCTAGATGCAAGCAGTGTTCAATTTGTTAATAAATTTGTTTTTCTTAAATTTCTTTAAATAAAAGGTATATTTCTTTCTTATGGTTTCTTCCTTCTTTACATGAGATGAAAATGACCTCCTTAATTGTAGTTCACTCATTCAAAAATCGCAGGTTCAGTTTGCAGAGTATGAATTCTCTATTAAAACCTCAGTAGAACTGGTGCATAGAGCTACCAGGAAAAAATAAAGCAACAAAACTCTGCTCAAGTCCTTCCTTTAAATATAAAATATATTCCTAAATGTAAAATCTACATTTGCTATGTTTTAAAAATTAAACTTGTATGTATTTGAAAATTCTTCAAAACAGAATATTTACAGAGTATACAAATATTGATACCTAGAATTAGATGTATAGACCAAGAAATAAATAAGATTTTCTGCAAAATTCCAACTTTTTTGGTTAAATATTTTAGTAATTTCAGTGATAGAAACTTTTTTGTTGTCGTTGAAACACGGTCTTGCTCCATCACCCAGGCTGGAATGCAGTGGTGGGATCACAGCTCACTGGAGCCTCGACCTCTCGGGCTCAAGAGATCTTCCCACCTCTCAGCCTCCCAAGTAGCTGGAACTACAGGTGCGTGCCACCACAACTGGCTAATTTTTTTTTTTTTCTTTTTTAATGTAGAGATAGTGTCTTGCCCAGACTGATCTTGAACTCCTGGGCTCAGGCAGTCCTTCCACCTCGATTTCCCAAAGTGCTAGGATTACAGCCACGATGCCAGGCTGATAGGAACTTCTAGGCATATGGTAAAATAGTGGCTTATAGAACTAGGAGGAAAGCCAAGTGCCTAGCTTCACATCTATGCAGGAGGCCCAGCCCACATCAGTATCCTGAGTGGTATCTGAGGCACCCCCTGGAGGGCTCCAGTGCAGACCCATCAGCTGGAACCAAAGTAGCCGCTGACCAAGTGTGGCCCCTGGTCTGGAAAGCATCTTCCCCTCCTTACTCAGGATGCTGTCCTTCACAGGAGGGCTTGGACTCAGAAACACCTCTACTGTACATTTTAACCTGTGGTCTCTGGCGATGGGTTTAAGGCTTAGGGCTCCCTTAAAGATTGGGAGAAAAGACACTAATGGGAAAGGGGTGGCTTAAAGAAAGGCACAAGTTGATTCTCAGACTATCCCCTTCCCACCCACCTCTACATGATATGGGTAGAGACCTTTATGTACCACAAGGCTGCAGGCTGAAGTTAAATTCCATTTCCCTGGATATAAACAGAAGATTCCAACTCCTTTCTCAGCCACCCAAGAATCCAACCATTATGTGAATATAGAAGAGAGGAACTTCCCTAATCCCTTGAGGCAAGTAGAAAGTGCCCCTAGCATGGATAAGGAGGTAAACATTGCAATTTTAAAAACTTGCCTTGAAGTTTCTTAGCCTTTAGGGGCTGAGCAGGGTTCTGACTGCTCTGTCATGCCTCAGGGAACTGGGTTGCAATGGAAAACACGGACCTTTGAAAAACTTCTTACAAAATAAGGCCCAAAATTTCAGATAACTAAATGGAACTTGGAAAACAGTGAGGGAAAAACTAATTTCTTCGGCAGGGAACAGTGGCTCACACCTGTAATCCCAGCATTTTGGGAGGCCAAGGCAGGTGAATCACTTGAGGTCAGGAGTTTGAGACCAGCCTAGCCAACATGGTAAAACCCCATCTCCACTAAAAGCACAAAAATTAGCCAGGTTTGTGGTGATGTATTTGTGTAGTCCCAGCTACTTGGGTGGCTGAGGTGCGAAGATTGCTTGAGCCTGGGAGGCGGAGGTTGCAGTGAGTCAAGAAAATTATTTTTTTTTTCTTTGAGATGGAATCTTGTTCTGTCACCCAGGCTGGAGTGCAGTGGCATAATCTCGGCTCACTGCAACCTCTGCCTTCCAGGTTCAAGTGATTCTTCTGCCTCAGCCTCCTGAGTAACTGGGATTACAGGCGCCTGTCACCACACCCGGCTAATTTTTGTATTTTTAGGAGACACGGAGTTTCACTATATTGGCCAGGCTGGTCTCGAACTTCTGACCTCGTGATCCACCCACCTCAGCCTCCCAAAGTGCTGAGATTACAGGCGTGAGCCACCGCACCCAGCCTTGATCTAAGTAGCTGAAGCTGAGGCTCCTCACCATCGCTTCTCCACCCCCCTCCTGAACATTTCATCCGTCCCTCAGATTCCCTCCTCTATGTGCTGCCGTTACTGTCAGAACATTATATTTCAATTAAACTCTAGACTCAGAATTCTTGGTGGTCTGCAGCCAGTCATTCCTGTAGTCTGAGGGTCTCCAGCCTTCTGCTTCCAACCATTGCTCTCAAGGGTTCACAAATCTATTAGCCTATCTGTGAGCAGAATTTCTTAGTTCTCCAATGACAGTTTGCAGTTGCAGAATTGTGTTGCTCTGTGGGATACAAATGTAGCAGTTGCAATTCTCAGGACATTTGGAGAAGATTTCTGAAGAATTGCAGTAGTTTTGGTTGCTCAGAGCTTTAGGAAAGAGGAGCACTGACTGAGGGCTGGTGGATACACTGAATTTGAGTTTGGCCCAAAGCTAAGTATTATTGGGCAATGACAGAATTCTGATAAGCAACCTGGAGGGCCCCCACCCACTCCACAGCATGGCGACAGTGTAATAGGGCATTGGGAGGCTAAAAGAAATATTCATAGGCCTGGCTTACACCTATACACCCAGCACTTTGGGAGGCCAAAGCGGGCAGATCACTTGAGGTCAGGAGTTTGAGATGAGACTGGCCAACATGGAGAAACCCCGTTTCTACTAAAAATACAAAAATTAGCCAGGCATGGTGGCTCATACCTGTAATCCCAGCTACTCAGTAGGTGGAGGTTGCAGTAAGCTAAGATCATGCCACTGCACTCCAGCCTGGGTGACGGAGCAAGGCTAAAAAAAAAAAAAAATGTAGAGTGAGGAAGTCTTGGTGATAATTTTTAAGTCTACCACTTAAAAATGCGGTGAATAATGTCTTATATCTCACAGACAAGACACAGGAAAGATGCATTCACAATTTCACTCTGTTCTGTCTCAGTTACTCTCAGACAAAATTCTCCCCATTGTATGATTCATTTTATTGGGAGGCTGAGGCAGGAGAATTGCTTGAACCTGGGAGGCGGAGTTTGCAGAAAGATCGTTCCATTGCACTCTAGCCTAGGACACAAGAGCGAAACTCCATTTCAAAAAGAAAAAGAAAAACATACAAAATGAGGCCTGAAAGTTCAGGGACTGTATGTGGAGCATGGCCAACAGTGAGGTAAAAACTAATTTCTTGAGCAGGGTGCAGTGGCTTACACCTGTAATCCCAGCATTTTGGGAGGCCAAGGCAGGTGAATCACTTGAGATCAGGAGTTTGAGACCTGAGGTCAGGAGTTTGGAGTCAATTTCTCTTCACTTCAGCAAATGGAAGCACTAGTACTTATATAAACTGAATAAAAATTGCTGGGAAATATATGTGGCATTATCAGAGGGCATCATTCTCTGATAGCTGAGCCCAGGAGTTTTAATGTCATCTTGGATGACTGCATGGTCATAAGATGTCTAAGTTTTATATATACATAAACATCGGACGTGGAAGCTATAATAATGCCCAGACTGCTTTCCCTAAGTAATCCCTCTCTCCGGCATCTTCATTATTCCATCTGGCCTTCCATCAGTGGTTTTTCCACTGGCTCCCCCTTTCTCCTCAGCCTCCTGTGTTGCAGTTTTCAACTTTCCCAACTTACTGAACTTCTGATCAGTAATTGAAATCCAACTCATCACAGCCCTACTCGACATGGATGGCTCAACATCTGGCTTCTTACGTACGGGAGGCCAGGTTAGAGTTATCTTTGGAATGAAAGCAGAATAAGCAAAGAAGATCTGCATAAAGACCACTGTGAATATCAATATATTAGAAAGGAATTGTCCCCAGAGAATTACCACTCTAACTAGATCCACAAATGCCATTCAAAACCAGGCTCACTGATAAAATATAAACATACATCAGTAACTCTATGGCAATAGCAGACTTCTGGTATTCAGACTGCTGGTACTTGCTGGTGGGATGGATCTCTTATCCCAGCACCAGACTCGCTGACACTGAGTTGAGCTCTTCAGTGATGAATGTCATTATTATCTTTATCTTTTAAACAAATAGCAATTCTAGATTTTAAATAATTTATACATTTTCTGATTCCACTTTTGTATGTTAAAAAAAAATTAAAACATCTATTTAACTACTCAGTTGTTAATGCTAAGATGTACATTTCATTGTGTAAGATGCTCACCATCTCATATTTTGGGTTTATTTCAACTTGGGTTTAAAAATATTTTGTTTTCATATGAATGTAAGAGGAGATACCAATATATTTCAGATAATTTCTACAATATCATAAATTTTTAAAAATTAAAAGATTATTTTGAAAATAAAAACAAACTTAGAACTCAGATGTAATATCTTCATGGTTCAATTTTTAAATTCAGTAATATATTTATTAAGATTGGCTTGGATGGGTGGGTGACCAGGAATCCCAGCTACCAGTGTCCAGATCATGGATTTGTACAAAAGGATTCACCCTGGCTGTATGATGACAGTTGTATACGCTGAATAAATCCCTCAGAGCCTCAAATGCTTTTCAGTAGGTGGATCATAAGGAAGTTCTCCAGGATCCAGATATGCAAATAAATAAACAAACATAAATTATGTTATAGGAAATTAACACTTCACAGTTTAACTGTGTCCTGTGCTAGATGTAATTTTATGAAACATCAGTATTATTTTAGCTATAGAATTTAAGATGAGTCTTTAACGGTGACTTTAACCCATGGATATCTTTCTTCAGAATAATAGACATTTGCACATCCTCCCAAAATTTTGCATGATGCATGAAAGGATTATGGATGCTCTAAAATCCATTCATGAGCAACCTAGAGGTCTATAGACTCTAGATGAGACACCTCCATTGCATAAGCTGAGAAATGGAAGAAATGACAGGTTAGAAAGCAATAAATGGGAAAATATTTTAATTTGAAAAAGAAAATATAGGTACACACATACCTTTTCCATCTCTTAGAAGGACAGCCTGTTGTGTTGAACAAGTAGCTTCAGGTTGGAGGTACCCTTTTAGGTGGGGAAGGGCTCTCTACCTGCCCAACCAAGTCAGTCATGTCAATCATGGAGATGGTGAAGAGACTAAGTTTACAAGTAGTTTGCTTACACAGCAAATTGAAATTATAATCCAAAGCATCTATATTGTACTTCTAAAACTATTAATGTTCCTATCCATCAAATGCATTACCCAATGATACTGGCTTTTGCAAGAACAGTACATGAAAATTTGTGAGCTGTTTAAAAAAAAAAAATTGTGCAGAGATCACATTGTGGGAGAATAAAAATTAAAATAAAATGAAAGAAAATGCTGGCCTGCTGATGCTTCTTGAAGCACACTCCAGGATTGAATGATCAAATGGAAAAAATTACTTTTAAGCCTTCATCTTTGGTGAAATGGAAGGAAATTGCACTGTCACATTTCCTCATGCCACCTAGAAATGAATAATTTCTATCTTCTTAGTCAACTTTTATTGCTTAAAGCCAAATAAAAGTAAGCCAAGTGGAAAAGTAAAGATTGAGCAGGACAGACGCATAACCTCCTCAGTAAATACTATAAATCCCGGAAGAGCAGGTGGAAATTTAAATCAATATATTTCCCAGGGGGAATCATATATCTTTATGTTCAGGAAGTAGCCTCTGCTATCCTGCACTGATGAGGCCATTTTCAGGCACGACTGTGGAGAGAATGAGTGTGTATAAATCAAAAACAGCTGGGCGCACTGCTCACCCCTCAAAAGTCACATGGAAAACATAAATTGACTTAAGAACAGAGTAATTTTAAAATATGGGAAGGCACAAGCAAGGAGAAATGGAAGGCCTCTGTAAAAAAATAACGCAGAAATCAGCACTCAATGCAGAAGAAACATCAACAGAGAGTAGGACTTTTTTTCCTAAATTCACTCTGGGTTGGAGCCGTAAGAGTAGCCTGCTTTGGGAGATAACTTACCTGAGGAAAACTAAGTAAAA